AGGATCGGAAGGGAAGGCAGCCAGCATTTCCCCCACCCACTTGGGCCCTGGGGAGCCTACTGAGGTCCCGGGCAAGACCTCTGCCCTCCCAGACCCCCTCTGGCCACCCGGGTCCTGAGGGAGTGGGTGGGGAGTAGAGGCCAGACGGGGATCGGCACTGAGAGGTGGCTGGGGAAGGGTGGGGTTTCCACCTCGGGAGGGGCCCACTCACAGTGAGGGGATCAGCGGGGACCGGGAGGATGGGAAGGGAACTAGGCCAGTGTTTCCCCCACTCACTCGGGCACCTGGGAGCCTACTGAGGTCCCAGGCCAGATCCTCCGCCCTCCGAGGCCCCCTCCAGCTACACTGGGCCTAAACCCCGGCCCTGCACTTCCACCCAGGGTCTTACCTCTGAACTCCGCTGTCCGAGGCCCCCTCCAGCCATGCTGCCTTTTCCTGCCTCGTGGATCCTGAGCATAGGCCCCACCCCAACCTAAGCTCTGCCCGCCACAGCCAAGGCCTTTTCCGGCCCATTTTTCTTTTTTTTCGGGGAGGGGGGTTGTGGTTGTGTTTTACTTTGTTGTTGTTGTTTCACTTATATATTTATTTTTTCTAACTTTAAAATTTTTCTAATTTTATTTTATTTTTTATTCTTTGTTATTGTACTGCTCCTTTTTTTTTTTTTTTCTTTTGCTGCATCGTGCACCTTAAGGGATCTTGGTTCCCAGGCCAGAGGTCAACCCTGAGCTCCTGTGGTGGGAGCACTGAGTCCAAACCGCTGGACTAACAGAGAACCTCAGACCTCAGGGAATATTAATAAGAGTGAGATCTCCCGGAGGTCCTCATCTCGGCACCAAGACCCAGCTCTATCCAACTGTAAAAACTCCAGCACTGGATGCCTCAGGCCAAACAACCAGTAAGAAGGAACACAGCCCCACCCATCAAAAAAATGAGACGACAAAAAAATATGTTACAGATGAAAGAGTAAAGTAAAAACCTACAAGACTAAATAAATGAAGAGGAAATAGGCAAACTACCTGAAAAAAGAATTCAGAGTAATGATAGTAAAGATGATCCAGGGGCTTCCCTGGTGGTGCAGTGATTAGGAATCCGCCTGCCAATGCAGGGGACACAGGTTCATACGCCGTGGAGCAACTAAGCCCGTGTGCCACAACAAATGAGCCTGTGCTCTGGAGACCATGACCCACAACTACTGAGCCCGTGTGCCACGACTACTGAAGCTCACGTGCCTAGAGCCCGTGCTCCGCAACCTACCTGAAAAAAGAATTCAGAGTAATGATAGTAAAGATGATCCAGGGGCTTCCCTGGTGGTGCAGTGATTAGGAATACGCCTGCCAATGCAGGGGACACAGGTTCATATGCAGTGGAGCAACTAAGCCTGTGTGCCACAACAAATGAGCCTGCGCTCTGGAGCCCATGACCCACAACTACTGAGCCCGTGTGCCACGACTACTGAAGCTCACGTGCCTAGAGCCCGTGCTCCGCAACAAGAGAAGCCACTGTAATGAGAAGCCTGCGCACCACAACAAAGAATAGCCCCCACTCACTGCAATTAGGGAAAGCCAGTGCATAGCAGTGAAGATGCAATGCAGCCAAAAATTAATTAATTAATTAATTAAAAAAAAAGATGATCCAAAATCTCAGAAATAGGACGGAGGCACGGATCAAGAAAATATAAGAAATGTTAACAAAGACCTAGAAGAACTAAAGAACAAACAAACAGTGATGAACAACACAATAACTGAAATGAAAAATACACTAGAAGGAATCAATAGCAGAAAAACTGAGGCAGAAGAACAAATAAGTGAGCTGGAAGACAAAATGGTGGAAATAACTGCCGAGGAGCAGAATAAAGAAAAAAGAATGAAAAGAATTGAGGACAGTCCTAGAGACCTCTGGGACAACATTAAACGCACCAACATTCGAATTATAGGGGTCCCAGGAGAAGAACAGAAAGAGAAAGGGTCTGAGAAAACATTTGAAGAGATTATAGTTGAAAACTTCCCTAACATGGGAAAGGAAATAGCCAACCAAGTCCAGGAAGAGCAGAAAGTCCCTTCAGGATAAATCCTAGGAGAAACACACCAAGACACATATTAATCAAACTAACAAAAATTAAATTCAAAAAACAAAAAAAATTTAAAAGCACCAAGGGAAAAGCAAAAAATAACATACAAGGGAATCCCCATAAGGGTATCAGTTGATTTTTCGCAGAAACTCTGAAGGCCAGAAGGGAGTGGCAGGATATATTTAAAGTGATGAAAGGGAAAAACCTACAACCAAGATTACTCTACCCAGCAAGGATCTCATTCAGATTTGATGGAGAAATCAAAAACTTTACAGACAAGCAAAAGCTAAGACAATTCAGCACCACCAAACCAGCTTTACAACAAATGCTAAAGGAACTTCTCTAGGTGGGAAACACAAGAGAAGAAAAAGACCTACACAAACAAACCCAAAACAATTAAGAAAATGGTAATAGGAACATACATATCGATATTTACCTTAAATGTAAATGGATTAAATGCTCTAACCAAAAGACACAGACTCGTTGAATGGATACAAAAACAAGACCCGTATATACGCTGTCTACAAGAAACCACTTCAGACGTAGGGACACATACAGACTGAAAGTGAGGGGATGGAAAAAGATATTCCATGCAAATGGAAATCAAAAGAAAGCTGGAGGAGCAATACTCATATCAGATAAACTAGACTTTAAAATAAAGACTGTTAAAGAGATAAGGAAGGACCCTACATAATGATCAAGGGATCAATCCAAGAAGAAATCTCTCTGCTTCTGATTTCTTCATTTCTAATTCATCAGGTTGAATACACCAGCTTCATCCTCTAAAACACAGCTCTGACTTTCACTTTTCTACTCAAAAAGATTTAAGGAATTGATTATATATAAAATCGTTTTCAAAGTTCATAGTATAGCCCTCTAAAAAGCTAGTTCCTATCCATCCCATCTCTTAATCGCACCAGGCTCTCTCCGAGAGAAACATAACATACAATATAGCTACCACTTACTGAGCATCACTCATTCATTCTGCTGTTCATTTTTTATTTCTTTATTTTACTGAAGGCCTACCATGTATCAGGTACTATTCTAGGCACTGTGAATGCAGCAGTGAACCTAAGAGGCACAGAGCTCTGCCTTCATGCAGCTTACAACTCAAGTGGGGGGGATGGACAATAAGCAAAGAAATAAGATATGGTATCAGATGGCGGTAAGTGCTATAAAGAAAAATAAGGCAGAAAAGGACAATAGGGAATGGTAATGGGGGTGTGATTCAGAAGTGTGGTTGGGGAAAGGCTCACTGAGAAGGTGACATTTGGGCAAAAACCAAAGGAAATGAGAGAATAAGCCGTGAGGATATGTGAGGGATGACGACTCCAGGCAGCAGAAAGCCCCTGAACTGCGAACGCCCACGTTCAAGCAATAGCAAGGAGGCCAGTGTGACTGGAGCAAAGAGAGGGAGAGTATAATAAGACAGAGAAGACTAGGGCCAGATCATGCGGTGTGATTGTAAGAACCCTGGTTTTTACCCTGTGAGCCGAAAGCCACTGGATGGTTTTGAGCCGAGAAGGGTCACATCTGACTTGAGTTTTAAAATGATCACTCCAGCTGCTGTGTGGAGAAACAGGGCGGAAGGTTAGAAACAGGGAGACCAGGCAAAAAATGATGGAGGACCAAGGTGGTAGCAGTATAGGATGGAATTTCCTGGCGGATTACACTGTAGAGTGTGAGAAAAAGAAGAGCCAAGGTAGATGCAAACTATTACATTTCGAATGGATAAACAACAGCTCCTACTGTATAGCACAGGGAACTATATCCAATCTCCTGGGATAAACCATAATGGAGAAGAATATTAAAAATAGCACGTGTGTATGTGTATAACTGAGTCACTCTGCTGTACAGCAGAGATTGGCACACGATTGTAAATCAGCTCTACTTCAATTAAAAAAAAAAAAAAAAATAGAGCCAAGCATGACTTCAAGGGTTTTAGACTGAGGAACTGGTAAGACAGAGGAGCAATTTAGCAAGATGCAGAAGACAGTTCGAGGAGAACATAATTAAAGGGGAGTGGGAGGAAGATCAGCAGCTCAATTTCATTCGTGTTAGCTTTGAGATGCCTACTAAGGATCCAAGTAAACTTGTCAATTATGCAGCTGGATACACACCTTGGAGTTCAGTATCTGAGTTCACACTGAAGATACCTGGGAGTCATCAGTGTAGAGACGGCTTTAAAAGCATGAAACTAGATGAGAGTCCCAGGGACTAAATGTAGATAGAACTGAGCCTTAGAGCACTCCAACATTTAGACTAAATTTTAGAGATGCAGAAAAAAACAGGGACAGAGGCCAAGAAGGAACAGCCAGTAGGTAAGAAGAAAGCCTGGAAGAATAATACAATTATGAGGGCTGGGAATTAACCCCTAAATTTACCAACATGGCAGTTACTTGACCTTGACAAGAACAGTTCTGGGATAATAATGAGGACCAAAGCTGACTGGAATGGGTGAGAGAAAGACTGGGTGAGAGAAGTGGAGGTAGTGAGTATAGACACGTCTTCTGAGGACACATAACCATACACTGAAGCATATGCTTCACAGGCTAATCAGGAGATAATGCTCTTAATCCTCACGTGACCCTATGAAATAGGTACCATTTATTATTCCCATTTACAAATGAAAAAAAACAAAGCTCAGAGAAGTGAAATAATTTGTTCAAGGCCAGAATCTGTGAGTGGCAGGACCAGGACTCCAAACCCAAGTCTGTTTAATTCCAAAGCCTACGGCTGGTGACAGTGATGGAGCCTTCCATTCTTTGGGAGGAAGCAGCTGTGACCTATTCCTGTTCCCAAGGATTCCCCAGTTTTTTAACAAGGTCCTGTAACTCTAAAGCCAGCCCTTTTGGAGAACACCAAAGCAGGCCCCCATTTTTCTTTGTGAACTTGTCAGTGCTCCTATAAATGAAGTCACCACTGCACTGACCTGAGTTAGGGAGCACTGATCCTTTGCCATTCTTCACGTCCACCACCCAGGTGGCTTCTTTACCTCCAGGGCCGTCCTTCACCTTGAAGGCAAAAATACCACCGATTTTCTTCACAAACTGCTCCCCTTCCTGGAAATAAAAATAACACAGAGTTACATGAAGTTCATTCCTCTGGCTTTTCCCCAAATTTTTAAATAGATACATGACGTGAGCAGCTGGGTCAGCAGATAGTCCCCAAGCTCCCTTAGGATCTTTTACCCAGAAAAGTCTGAAAGGCGACCAGGCAACAACTCCCTTATCTGCCAAATCTTTTGTTGAAAATGGCTTTCTGGATACAACTGGTGGAAGGACAGGGAGAATGGGAGAGTGGGTGGCACAGCAGCATTTTCTACTGAAATAGCCTTCATTTGTCTCAATAATTTCTGAAAGATTCACTCTGGCCTCTCTCAATGTAGGAAGCCTAGCTCCTCTTTTTCTTTGTAGGTAAATTCCTTCACATGTATTTTTGTTCTTCCACAATCAGAATTTAAAGATAAGTGGTTCAACTCATTTCCTGGATTAGTATAAAGAATTATACAAGTAATATACCATCCACCACCTACTTTTGGATCTTGAAGAACGAAGCTGGAAAAATAACCTCAGATCCACATCTCCGTAGGTTGGTTTCCTTTCTCCCTCCCTCTCCCCTTTATTCCCACTCTGTTGCATCCTTCCTTACTGAAATATTGATTGACCAAAACAATGATTGGCACCAGACTTGATTCCAGACGCTATGGAGTTAGAAGGGTAAATGATAATACACTATGATCACTATGAAAAAGGGGAACACAGGGGCCTACAGGAGCACAGAGGACCCGCTAACCCGGCTGGCAGGGTGAATAACTCACACACCTTAAAAAAAAACACACACACAATAATTTTATTGCAATTATTTTTCTTTAGAGAAAAAACAAATTGTACTGCAGAAAAAATAGAAAATATTGAGAAGCAAAAAGAAAACAAATCATTCATAATTTCACCACTCAGAGAAAATAACATTTTGATATAAATCTCCTCTTTTTTCTCTACACACACAAACATATATATATATATATATTTTTTTTTCCTTGCGGTACGCGGGTCTCTCACTGCTGTGGCCTCTCCCGTTGCGGAGCACAGGCTCCAGATGCGCAGGCTCAGCGGCCATGGCTCACGGGCCCAGCCGCTCCGCGGCATGTGGGATCTTCCCGGACCGGGGCATGAACCCATGTCCCCTGCATCGGCAGGTGGACTCTCAACCACTGCGCCACCAGAGAAGCCCCCATATATATATTTTTAATGAGTATATATACTGTTTTGTAATCCACTTTTCGGTTTAATATAGCTATCCTTATTACTGTGTCATTACGTATTCTTTCATATAATTTTAAATGACCATACATAGTCTTTAATTGTAGATGTGTACTATATACTTTATTTAACCAATACTCTGCTGCTTGATGTTTAAGGTTAGTCCTAACTTCTGGGTCTTATAACAATGCTGTACATAACGTTCTTACATCTAAGTATTTTTACATAACCTCATTTACTTAAGGTTAATCTCCAAGAATTAAATTTTACTAATTAATAACAATGAATTTGAAATCAGCATAGGTTTGAATTCCTGCTCTGCCATTACTTATATAACCCTGAGCAATTTACTAAATCTCTCTGAATCTCAGTTTTCTTATCTGTGAAATGGAGATAATAATATAGCTACCCTCATAGAGTTGTATGGTATTTAAACACCCACAAAGCACAGAGTAACTGCTCAATAAACGCTGGCATTTTTTCCCATTATTTTACTCTATGATCTGTCTGCTATTCCTGTGCCAGTATTATAGCTTTATAAATGTACTTTACTCTTTGGTACAGTAAATACCATAATTCCTCTCTTAGAAAGATTCTTGACTATTCTTGGATTTGTTTTGGACATTTTTTCCTCTAGATGTACATTATAATCATTTAGTTAGTTCTTCCCCCGAAAATGGGGCTATAGGACTTCCCCGGTGGAGCAGTGGTTTAGAATCCACCTGCCAATGCAGGGGACATGGGTTCAATCCTTGGTCTGGGAAGATCCCACATGCCACGGAACAACTAAGCCCGTACACCACAACTACTTAGCCTGTGCTCTAGAGCCCGCGAGCCACAACTACTGAGCTGGCACGCCACAACTACTGAAGCCTGCACGCCCTAGAGCCCATGTGCCACAACTACTGAGCCTGCATGCTGCAACTACTGAAGCCCATGTGCCTAGAGCCCATACTCCGCAACAAGAGAAGCCACAGCAATGAGAAGCCCATGCACAGCAACAAAGAGTAGCCCCCACTCGCCCACGACTAGAGAAAGCCTGCGCGCAGCAACAAAGACCCAACACAGCCAAAATAAATAAACAAACAAACAAATAAATAAATGGGGCTACATACAATATATGGATCTGTTTGGAGGAAAAGTAATATCTTTACAATATTAAGTCCTCCCATCCATGAAGATGGTGTATCTTCAAGTTTTCCTTGATGTCCCTTGGCAATATTTTGTCATTTTCCCCCATATAGGCTTTTGTACATTTTTTGCCAAGTTTATTCTTAGTTTTTTAATATTTTATATTAGTCTTGTTAATAATATATTTTTCATTATATTTCATGACTAGGTAATTGCAAATATATAGAAAATATATTCATCTTTACATATTTATTCTGGAATTGGCTACCTTTACAGTTTTCTTATAATTTCTAATAGAGTTTTTATTTACCACCTTTTTTTTTCAGCCTTACATCCCTGCAATAATTTATATCCAAGATTCCTCCTCTTGGTATCATAATATTTCTTCTTTTAACAAAGACTTTAGTGTTTACGATGTTCAGGCACTGTGCTAAGTACCTGAAATACTCAAATAATTATTATCAGATACTAACCTCTGTTTCTATGTATGCAGAGAGTCTGGCCTAAGTTCTTTCTTTTTGTTGTGTTTTGTTTGTTTTATAACAAATTCATTGAGATATTTATATATTTAAAAATTTATCATTTTAAAGTATGTAATTCAGTGGTATTTTAGTATATTCAAAGTTGTGCAACCAACACCACTATCTAATGTTAGAACATGCTCATCACCCCAAAAAGAAAACCATACACATTAGCAGTCACCCCCCACCCCCACCATTCTCCTCTCCTGCTATCCCCTGGCAACCACTAACCTACTTTCTGTCTTGATGGATTTGCTTATTCTGGACATTTCACACAAATGGAATCATACAGTATATGGTCTTTTGTTACTGGCTTCATTCACTTAGTATAATGCTTTAAAGGTTTATCCACGTTGAAGCACGTTATCAGTAATTAATTCCTTTTTAAGGCCAAATAATATTCCATTGTATGGATGCAGCACATTTTGCTTAGCCATTCATCAGTTGATGGCTGTTTCCCCTTTTCAGCTATTATCAATGATACTGCTATAGACATTTGTGCACAAGTTTTTATATGGACATAGGATCTAATTCCTCTTATATTTAGAAGTAAAAAATTGGGTCATAAGGTAATGTTTAACCTTTTGAGGAACTATCAAGCTGTTTTCTAAAGTGGCCGCACCATGTTACACTCCTACCAGCAACAAATGAAGGTTCCAATTTCTCTATATCCTTACCAACATTTTTGTCTGTCTTTTTGACTTTAGTTATCCTAGTGGGTGTGTCAATCTTTTTCTTGTACATAGCTAACACACCTGAACCTATCTAGAATGAACCATGGGTCTTAGGACTCCAAACAAGCTATTCTAAAAATATTTAGTCTAGGCCTACTTATCTCAACAGCCATGGAAGCAATTCTTACATGTGACTGTCCTGAAATCAACTACCAACATTTTCTAATTAAATCAAGAAACCAAATGATTGTCAAATTTTTAAAGCGAAGGAGAGAAATTGTCTTATTTTGGTTTCCCTTAAAACAACATCTCACTCAAATTAAGTAAACTTTCGGAAAAACTATTAACAACAACAATAATCTTTTGGGGGCTATAAAGTTTTCAAGTGCTTTTATATACATTATTTCCTTAATTTTCATAAAACCCTGTAAGTAGTTGCACAGGTGTTAATATTAGCTCATTAAGCAGAAAAAATTACTGAGGCTCTAAAAGGTTAAGAACCCTTTAGACTATTCTCTATCCTACTGCCAACTAATCCATCTAATATAACCCACCTAACACTAACATAAATACCACTTTCAGGTTTGAATTAAAATGGCTCCCCACAGCCTACAGGATAAAGTCTGCCTTTATATATCATTCAAAATTCTTCATAATCTGAAGGATATTTATATGTTCTTATCTTCAGCCCCTTTTTCATCCTCCCCAGGTTTTTTTGTTCTGACCGCTTTGAATGCCATGAACATACATGCCTCTATGCCCTTGCTCATGCCCTGTCCCAGTTCACTCACCTCCTCCTACTCTCCATTCCCACCTAACTTCATCAATTCAAGTCTCAGCTCACATGCTAACTCTTCTGGAAAGGTGTTTCTGCCTCTACTGGACACTTTGATAGCCCTTTGCACATACACCCACCTGCAAGTTTCTTGCTAAAGCAGTTTTTTTTTTCTTCCGGGAAAAATTTTCCAGGTCTACTTTCCCACTAAACTCAACGTTCCCTGAGGGGCAAGGACGTATGACAAGCAAGCAACACAACCAGAAATCAATCTCAGGTTGGTTTAACTTCAAATTCAATGCTCTTTCCATTTGCTCATACCATATGGCAAAGTAGGTTATATCAATACTCCCAAACTTTAGCCTATAAAAGTAGTTTCTGTCACCATAAATAAATTAAAAGAAAGTTCAAGTCTTTTCCACATTCCTTAAAATCATTTATCCTTCAAGGTTCTGTGGAGATAATCTAGAAGAGTACGTAGTAATGCTGGTGTGCTGGGCCACCCAAGGAGCCAGGCTTCCTTTGGGGCCAAGAGCCCATGAACAGCTACTCCCAGCTACATCTACGCGTCATCTGCTTGCACAATGCCTCAGGAATAGTTATGGTAGCCACCAACAAGTTAGAGCAGGAAATCACCAGCAAACGTTTAGGAATTCTACCTGAATACCTGGAAATTCCTCCCACTTCCTTAAGACAGAT